GTTGTTCCCATGCATCTGCTGCCCTTGTTCTCACATATGACAGAAGCTGCAGTTTGGAAGCTGTTGTTAAAGGAACCTTATCAAGTTGCTGCAGTGCATCTTGTATTCGTACAGAGGGCTGTCTCATTGTATGGATGTTGGAGCGAGTGGATTTCAAAACTGCAGATGAGATGGTGGCCAAGTAGGTTGCTTTGTGCTGGATGGTGTGGAGCTTCTCAAGTGTCATTGAAGACACACTCATCCAGACAAGTGAAGGTTATTCCATTATATTTTTGACAGGTGCTTTGCAGATGTTGGAGTATGTTTGAGAAGTTAGGATGCAAGTTACTCACCTCAGAATTCCAAGCCTCTAACCTGCTTTTATAGCCCAAAATATTTATTTGACTCATCTAGTCAGGTTTTTTGTCAATGAAACCCCCAAGATGATGATGGTGGGAGATTCAGTAATGGCTGCTGAATATCAGGAAAGGGATGGTTAGATTTTCTCTTGGTGGGAATGGTCATTGCCTGACACTTGTGTGGCATGAAGAAAAAATGGAAAGATTGGGTTTCTTTTTCCATGGAACAGAGGAGACTGAGGTGGGTGGGACATGATTGAGATGTTTGAAATTATTAGGAGCAAAGACAGGATAGACAGGAAGAGACATTTCCCCTGGTGTAGGGATCAATGACCGGGGGCACAGCTAATGGGCAGGAGGTTTAGAATGGATGCGAGGAAAGACTTTTTCACCCAAAGGGTGATGGGAATCTGAAACTCGTTGCCTGTAAAGGTGGTAGAGGGAGAAACCGTCATAACATTTAACAGGTATTTAGTCATGTACTTGTGATGCCATGCATACAAGGCTATGCGCCAAATACTGGAAAATAGGAATAGCACAGTTAGGTGCTTATTTTTGACTTCTTTTTATTCACTTACGGGATGAGGGCATTGTTGGCTAGGCAGCATTTATTGCCCATCCCTAATTGCGCAGAGGGCAGTTCAGAGTCAACCACATTACTTTGGTCTGGAGTCACATGTAGGCCAGACCAGGTAAGGATGGCAGTTTCCTTCCCTAAGGGACATTAGTGAACCAGATGGGTTTTTCCTGACAATTGACAATGGATTCATGGTCTCATTAGATTCTTAATTCCAGAATTTTTTTTATTGAATTCAAATTCCACCATCTGCCAAGGTGGGATTTGAACCCAGGTCCCCAGAATGTTTTCTGGATGAACAGTCCAGCGATAATACCACTAGACCATCGCCTCCCCCTGGTGCAGACTCAATGAACCAAACGGCCTTTGCTGTGCTGTAGGCCTCTATGACTCTTTCAATATTAATTGCCACCCATCAGTTCAAGCCTGAATGTTGTCCAGGTTTTGCTACATGTCTGTATGGACTGTTTCAGTTTCTTGAGTTGTAAATGCAACTGAACACAACACTGGTCATCCCCACTTCTGACCATATGATGGAGAGAGGATCATTGTTGATGCAGCTGAAGTTGGTTGAGTTCCTGCAGTGATGTCTCAGAGCCAAGATGACTTGTTTTCAACAACCACCAACTTCCTCAGTACTAGGAATAACTCCAACCAGTTTTTTTTTTCCTCAATTCTTATTGACTTTAGTTTTGCTAGGGCTCCTTGATGATACGTTCAGTCCAGCACTGTTTTGATGTTAAGTGCGGTCACTTCTCACCTCATCTTGGGAATTCAGCTGTTTTACACGTTTGGCCGAAGGCTGTAATGAGGTCTGAGCTCTAAAGGAACCCACTTTGAACAAATCAACAATTTATAGCTGAGCGAGTGCTGTTTGATAGATCTATATAGTATCATCACCAGTGCTAAAAGATGATTCTTTTTTAACAGAAACTTGAATAGTTCAGACATCTGAGCAGATTTTCCTTCCCTAAAAAGATTACTGATTGTAGTACTTACTGGAAAATAATGGAAATATCAAAAGATAGAAAAAAAGCATAACAACGACAATACTTGAAGTGGAATGATCCCTCCAAATATGAAAGAAAGAGAATGATCGCCCAGGTTTATTGGCTTCTGATGGTATTTGTTATCTACTAAACAGCAGTCTCAGCAAATCTGTCTCTGACCAACAGGAAAATGCCATGTTTTTTCTCAAATTCCTGCAATAGCTCCATGTTAAATATTGCAGACAGCTGTGAACAGCCCTGTTCTCTCACTGTGAGTTTACAAGGGAGCTGTGAGAAACTTTGCAGGTATATGTTTAACAACATACAAAGGCAGTGTGGCCATCACAAGGAGCTGAGGAAGTCTGATGTGCCAAGGAAGGTAAAATGCTGCAGTTGAGGAATCCAAGTTTATTAAAATAAATGTCTTTTTGTTTAATCACAAATAGGTTCAAAGAGGAAACTACTCCCCACTTCCTCAGTCTCTGTCGGGCTAAAATTTTGAATACATACATCAATTAGCTTTTAGCACCTCAGCCAAGTAGCTGTCCTTCAAACATGAGTCTAAAAATGCAGGATCTGGAAGGCCATTCTACCACAATAGGCAGCACTCTAAAGCTCAGACCTTCTGCTTACACAAGTTCACAAAGGCATATTTTACAGGAGTGTCTAGATCATGAAGAGGAGGAAGGGGCTTTGATTGGAAACCCCAGAAAACAGTTACAACCCAGAATGTAATTCAGCTCTCCAGGGCTTCACTGGCTGTCTGCTATAGTGATTGAGCTGGTCCCAAGCCACCACGTTTTCCCCACTGCCCTCCCAATAGTTTCTCTTTGGGTACTATCCAATTTCCTTTGAAAGTAATGATTGAATTTGTCTCCACTACACTCAGTGTGACTGCAAGCTGAAAACATCTCTCGCCCCACCACCACACTCTCTGTCCACGTGGGTGAAAAGACAGTGAATACAAGAAAGCTTAAAAGAAGGAATTCTAACAAAAAAACCTAGGTTCATCTGATCAATCGGTGAAGTGACCACTGCATTACAGACAACAGTGTGTCATCACTGCTGAAATTAGAAGGAGCTGAAAGAGCCAATACAATCCACCTCAGTTATTTGGATGTTCGATGATTGTAACTTGATATTTCCCGGTCTATTTTGTTCCACCTATAATGTCTGTGTCAAACCGTCTTTTGTCTACCTCAGTCATGAATGATTATGTATTTATTTAAAGGTTTTAAAGGGGGGTAGTTCAAATTGTATAGCAGTAGATTCGGAATCCTTTCTTTTCTCTGTCATTTGTTAAAGTTTTAAGTACAATAAATCAAGTAATTTTTGGTTGTATGAAGAAGCCTGATGCGAACTGCTTTTTGACGCGGGTAGCAATCACTCAGACAATTTGGCCATTTTAGTGGTTTCATTGTGATTTTAAATATTCATACACTTTGTGACGTCTTGTGGAACGGTGGGGCACAATTAATCTTCCTGGTTAATTCGTAACAAAAAGTTCACTTTCGACATGTTTGTTTTACACCCTATACCTTTATGATTAAAGCCCAGAATCTTGTCTGCTTTATAACAACTTTCTCAACTTGACCTGCTCACTATGATGTCTGCATCTTTCTCAAAAATTAACTTTTTGTTGCAAATTAACCACAAGACGTCACAAAGTATATGAATATTTAAAATCACAATGAAACCACTAAAATGGCCAAATTGTCTGAGTGATTGCTACCCAGGTCAAAAAGCAATTCACACCAGGTTTCTGTGTTCCGCATCCCCTTTATGTTATATTGCCTCTTCTCGCTTTACCTACGAAATACACTTCACGCTCCTCTGCATTAGATTTAACTGCCACATGTCTGCCCATTCAGCCAGCATGTTTCGTAATGAAGTCTAACACCATCCTCTTCACAGTTCACAATATTTCAAAAGGTTACAACACGTTACAACTTTGAATTTGTTCCTTTACAGCCAAGCTAGATAACTTGTACAGAGAAGCTGTGTTCCTAATAGTGGCCACTAGGAAACACAACTGTGTACCTTCTCCCAGTGAAAAGAAAATCAACCATTCACCCATAATTCTTTCCTGTAACTCAATCAACCCGAATCCATGCCACCTCTTTTCCTTTCATTCCCTGGTCTTCCACTTTGATGACAAGCCTGACACACAGATATAAAATGATAATTTACTAAATGCCTTTTGAAATTCATTCACAACACATCAATCAATCTACTGTTCACAGGCTTTTCTTTATTAATCCACAGCGTTGATGATTCTTATTTTTGTCCCAAATTACCGCTGAGGTTAAATGGACTGGGATCTAGTTGATGGACTTATTTATGAAGCACCAGCAGACAATGAGTCAGGACAGGTAGATGGCTGTGTAGCTGCAATGTCACTGGACCAGCAATCCAGTGGGAACACAGATAACTACCATCACTTTGTAAAACCCCAACTGGATTGGCAAGGAAATCTGTCATCCTTATCTGGTTTCACTCAGATCTCCAAATCCACAATAATCTGACTGACTCATTACAGTCCTCTGGCAAGCCACTCTGTTCAAGGGCAATTAGAGATGGGCACGTGCACCTCACTGGGCACTCGTAACCCATGACAAAACAAAAAAAAAGGGCTTGCCTTTTGGGCAAAGCACATCGACGAAATAAACCCATCACTCTACCGCCAATACTTTAACCACTGATACCGCTGCCTTGTGTTATATACCTCAAAATTATCTTTCCAAATACAACCCAAGTGTGAAGCAATTACATACGTAAACCAGGCTGATGCTGTACTTAACAGTATACAAGTCAAACCACATCACAGTACAAATACTTATATCGACACCCACACAGCTGTTCTCTGAAGTCCCTCCTTCACGTAAGGAGAATATAAGCAAGAAAACTGCATCCTGAATAAATATTTTCGATTACACATAGTGCCTGACACATATTTTTGAAGACACAGTTCGCAGAATATTTTCATTCAATTAACTGAAACTTAATTTTCATCTATCACAGAAATCTTATCTGGGATTATCAACAAGGAAAAGGTTACTCACTACAGAAATGAAAACTCGTGCAGGTGGAGCATACCTGATGTCAGGGATGTGTTGCTGTTGCACAGGTTGATGCTGGAAATGGTCAGGCCACCGATGATGAAGACAAAGGGGAGTGTGATCGATGAGAGAAGAGACAGGCTGGAGGCAGCAGCTGGCCGGATGGAGAGGGGAAGTGCTTTGGCACACAGATGTTGGGTACTCGGAGTGAGTTTGCAGGCAGGAAGGAGTCAATGGAGAGGTGATGGTGGTATTTCCCAAAGAATGGCAATCTGGCTGGTTACTGTGACAACACAAAGGATGATGGTATGGACAATGGTGGCAACATTGTGGCAGCAATGCCACAGGTCTTTGGTTGTTTATCATATTGTCTGTGAAGAGGCAAGAAGGCTTAACAGTACCATTTGGCAGAGTACCACTGTTGTGACTCACTTTTGCCCTTGAAGTCTCCTTGGCTGACAGGTGCCCAGAGAGGTGGTCTCCATCACAGGCTGCAGCGATGCTGTTACCGTTAGCATTTGATGGGACACTGCCATTGCTCTGAACCATGAAGTCACCATTCCCGTTGCTCATAGCCATGCTCGTTTCACCAGTTTCTTCACATCCGTCACACGTCTGAAAACAGAAGATAAAGAAAAAAACGATGCAAAACCATTCTCAGATGAAGCATTTAGATAACTGCAGAATCTATGATTTTTTCTGAGCGCACTGAGTAATACCTCTTCTCTTGATCAATGGATCACTGTTAGGAGGAGGAACACCTCAGAACAACACCTGGAAAATCCTGGAGTAGCAACAGCCTCTCCAGCCCATGGTATTGTATTGTGTCGCCATTGACCATAGGGCTGCTCTTTCATTAGACAGACATGGCAAGTGATGATTTAACCTGAGGGCCACCATTCATCAGGTGAGGGGGGAGGTTGAGAAGGAGAGTCCTTTACGGTAACCTCTGCCAGTGATGGGAACTGAACCCACGCTGTTGACATCACAGTGCTTCACAAACCAACCAGCTAGCTAATCCTCTATCCATGTTAATGTACTACCTCCAACAGCATGGGGTCTTATTAAGCAGCCTAACGTATTGTACCTTATCAAACTCTGTCTAGAAATCCAAATCCCTTGCTTCCTCTTTATCTATCCTGCTTGTTATCTCCCCAAAGAATTTTAATAAATTTGTCAGGCTTTCATGAAGTCACACTGAAACTGCTTGACTCTATTATGTATTTCCAAATGCCCTGCTATTATATCCTTTATAATGGGCTGTAACTTTTTCCCAATAACAGAGGTGAAACTAACTGGCCTATTTTTTTGACATAACACGGTGTAGAGCTGGATGAACACTGCAGGCCAAGCAGCATCAGAGGAGCAGGAAAGCTGACGTTTCGGGTCGAGACCCTTCTTCAGAAATGGGGGAAGGGAAGGGGATTCTGAAATAAATAGGGAGAGAGGGGGAGGCGGATAGAAGATGGATAAAGGAGAAGATAGGTGGAGAGGAGACAGACAGGTCAAAGAGGCGGGGTTGGAGCCAGTGAATGTGAATGTAGGTGGGGAGTTAGGGAGGGGATAGGTCGGTCCAGGGAGGACTGACAGGTCAAGGAGGCGGGATGAGGTTAGTGGGTAGGAGATGGGGGTGGGGCTTGAGGTAGGAGGAGAGGAATGGTTAGGGAGGCGGGGACGAGCTGGGCGGTCGGGGGAGGGGAGATTTTGAAGCTTGCGAAGTCCACATTGATACCCTTGGGCTGCAGGGTTCCCAAGCGAAATATGAGATGCTGTTCCTGCAGCTTTCGGGTGGCGTCATTGTGGCAATGCAGGAGGCTTAGGATGCAACAAACAACTACACCTCCCAGTCGCGAACCATTTCAACTCCCCTTCCCACTCCTTGGACGACACGTCCATCCTAAGCCTCCTGCATTGCCACAATGACGCCACCCGAAAGCTGCAGGAACAGCAACTCATATTTCGCTTGGGAACCCTGCAGCCCAATGGTATCAATGTGGACTCCGCAAGCTTCAAAATCTCCTCTCCCCCTACCGCATCCCAAAACCAGCCCAGCTCGTCCCCCCCTCCCTAACCTGTTCTTCCTCCCACCTCAAGCCCCACCCCCATCTCCTACCCACTAACCTCATCCCGCCTCCTTGACCTGTCCGTCCTCCCTGGACCGACCTATCCCCTCCCTAACTCCCCACCTACATTCACCTTCACTGGCTCCAACCCCACCTCTTTGACCTGTCTGTCTCCTCTCCACCTATCTTCTCCTTTATCCATCTTCTATCCGCCTCCCCCTCTCTCCCTATTTATTTCAGAATCCCCTTCCCCTCCCCCATTTCTGAAGAAGGGTCTCGACCCGAAACGTCAGCTTTCCTGCTCCTCTGATGCTGCTTGGCCTGCTGTGCTCATCCAGCTCTACACCGTGTTATCTCCGATTCTCCAGCATCAGCAGTTCCTACTATCACTGTAACTATTTTATTGACATTTTTTTTTGGACTCCTTCCCTTTTCAAATAAAGGTGTTATGGTGGCAGTTTTCTAATCCTCTGGGACTTTTCCTGAATCTAAGGATTCCTGGAAGATTACTACTAATGCATCCACCAACTAATCTCTGTGGTTACTTATTTGAAAATCCTAGGGTGCATCCCATCAGTTCCAGTGGGGATTATCAGTCATTCACCCTATTTGTTGGCTTAGCACTTGTTCTCTAGTGACAGTTATTATACTTATTTCCTCAGCTCCTTTTGCTCCATGTTTAGTAATATTGGAATGCTATTAGCATCTGATACTGTGAAGACTGATGCAAAGTATTTATTCAACTCCTCTTCCATTTCCAGTTTCCACATTCATATTATCCCAACCTCATTTTCCCAAGGTGCCTATGTTAACTTTGGTCTCTCTCTTCCTTTTTATATATTTAAAGAAACTCTTGCTGTCCATCTTGATGTTACTTGCAAGTTTACCCTCAAAGTTCATCTTCTCCCTGCTATCATTTTTTGGTAACCTTTTGTTGGCATCTAAAACTTCAGCAATCTTCAGTCTTATCACTAACTTCTTTGAGTTCTATGCTAAACTAAATCTCCTTCCAAGGATCCTTCTTTTTAACTGGGATATATCTTTGCTGTGAGCCATGGAATTTGCCATGATTGACAGTTAATTGCCAAGCTTTCTTTAAATTTTAAACCAGGCTGGTTTGTAATGGTTCTTTTCTGTCAGCAAAGAACAGGGCTCTGTGCATTAATATATATAGCAGCCTGCTCATGTAAGCGTGCCATAAAGCAAGCTCAACTTTTCACACACTCTCAATTATCAAACAAGCATTATCCAATCACAGAATCTCATCTAATGCTGGACAAGCAAAGAAGTGAATACCATGTAGTATAACAGTGACTTTTGCAAACTTAGGAAGAGATAGTTTGTTTGATATGATCTGTATATGGCATAGACTCATACTGGCATTGAAATACCACATTACTCCCTGGTGTGAAAGGCAGAAAAGGTTTGAGTTTGATTTATTGTTGTCACATGCACCGAGATACAGTGAAAACTGTTACTGTGAAGGGTGATACTAGTAAGATTAAGGAACAATGGGTGAATAAAGACATTAAGGTTCTGGTCAAGAAAGAAAAAAATGGATCTTTCTTTAGATATAGACAACTTGGTTCCATTAAATTTCTTAATCAATATAAAGCATGTAGGGGCATTCTTAAGAGAGAAAGCAGGAAGGCAAAGTGGGGATATGAGAAAACATTGGCAGATAAGTTTAAGGATAATCCAAAGAGATTCTACAAATACATTAAGAGCAAGAGGGTAACTAGACAGAGGGTAGGGCCTCTTAAAGATCAAGAAGGTTGTCTTTGAGTTGAACTCCAGGAGTTGGAAGAGATATTAAATGAATATTTCATGTCAGTTTTTACTGTGGAGAAAGAAATGGAATCTAGGGAAAGCAGAGAAATAAACTTTAATGTTTTAAAAACAGTTCATATGACAGAAAAGGAGGTTCAGGAGGTCTTAGAAAATATAAATGTAGATAAATCACCGGGACCTGATCTAATGTATCCCAGAATGTTGTGGGAAGTAAGGGAGGAAATTACAAGACCCCTTATAGAAATATTTGCATCATCTATAGCCATGAGTGAGATGACTGATGACTGGAGGGTGGCTAATGTTGTATCTTTGTGTAAGAAAGGTTGTAAGGAGAAACCGGGGAACTATGGACCTGTAAATCTGACTTCGGTTGTGGGTAAATTGTTGGAGATGATTATAATAGACAGGATTTATGGACATTTAGAGAGGCAAAAAATGATTAGGGATAGTCAGCATAGTTTTGTGTGAGGAAAATCATGTCTCACAAACTTGATTGCGTTTTTTGAGGAAGTCACCAAAAAGATTGATGATGGAAGAGCAGTAGATGTTGTTTATTTGAATTTTAGTAAAGCCTTTGATAAGGCTCCGCATAGTAGAATAATTAGGAAAGTTAGGTCACACGGGATTCAGGGTGAGCCTGCCAACTGGACACATAATTGGATTAACGGCAGGAGACAGAGAGTAATGGTGGAAGGTTGCTTTTTGGACTGGAGGCCTGTGATCAATGGTGTTCCGCAGGTATCAGTTCTGAGTCCTCTTTTGTTTGTCATTTATATAAATGATTTGGATGAGAATATAGAAGGCATGGTTAGTAAGTTTGTGGATGACACCAAAATTGGCGGCATTGTAGACAGTGAAGAAGGTTTTCTAAGATTACAAAGGGATCTTGATCAAATGGGTCAATGGGCTCAAAAATGGCAGATAGAGTTCAATCTGTATAAATGTGAGGTATTACATTTTGGTACAACAAACAAGGGTAGGGCTTTTACAATTAATTGTAGGGCCTTGGGCAGTGTTGTAAAACAGAGTAATCTAGGAGTGCAGGTACATAATTCTTTAAAGTTTCCATCACATGTAGACAGGATGATTAAAAAGGCATTTGGCATGCTTGCCTGCATTGCTCAGTCCGTTGAGTATAAGAGTTGGGAAGTCATGTTAAGGTTGTACAGGCCATTGGTGAGGTCTCTTCTGGAATACTGTGTCCAGTTCTGGTCACCCAGTAATATGAAGAATATTATTAAGCTGGAGAGGGTTCAGAAGAAATTTACCAGGATGTTGCCAAGTATGGAAGGTTTGAGTTATAAAGAAAGGCTGGATAGGCTGGGACTTTTTTCACTGGTGCATAGGAGGTTGAGAGGTGACCTCATAGAAGTTTATAAAATATGAGAGATATAGATAAAGTTGATGGTAACTTTCTTTACCTTATGATGGGGGATTTCAAGACTAGTGGGCACATTTTTAACGTGAGAGGAGACAGATTTTAAAAAAACATAAGAGGCAATTTTTTTACACGGAGGGTGGTTTGCGTGTGGAATGAACTTCCAGAGGAAGTGGTGGATGCAGGTATAATTACAATGTTTAAAAGGCATTTGGGTAGATACATGAATAGGAAAGGTTTGGAGGGATATGGGCCAGGAGCAGGCAGGTGGGACTACTTTAGTTTGGGATTACGTTTAGCATGGACTGGTTGGACCAAAGGGTCTGTTTCTGTGCTGTATGAGTCTACGGCTCTATGTTATTTTGCGTGTTATAGAGGAAGAA